CGTCTGTTAAATTTGGCAAGCTACGCGAGATTTTGTTACGCGTATATAGAGGGCAAGTTTTTTCTTCCCATACTGTAGATGTGAATAAACCCAGATCTGAGTCTTTCTCACTTCGATGGGACACCCCTCTTGATCTAGAAAAGGAAATCAAAGCATTAAAAGATGGTAAACATTCTACCTAACCAGAGTGAGATTTCAGATATTTTAGGAATTTTCCCGCCTCTTGCAATTCTATCTTCTTTTCTTCAACCTCACATCATAACTCCTTATTGGCTTTGACCTGATCCTCATGTTCTATAATAATTTCTTGCATAAATTTACCAAAAGTTTTTTCGTTATATTCCAGTAATCGCTGACATAAAATATCAACCTCTTTTTTAACCTGACAATTAATCTCATTCTCACTTGCAAAGCAAGGACACTTATGTGCCTGATCGCATTTACAGCTATTACTATTAATATCTGAAGTTTGAATTTCTTGGTCAACCATATTTATGTGTTTTGACACTAGCTTCACTATTATATATATATATGATAAATTTTCAAGTAATGGCCAACTTCGTCTCTGGTGCTTTAACTTTTTTTGATAACTATTTACCTCATGGCTTAAAAATGACTTGACTATGGGATTTATAGTACTAGCCTCATCTTCTGTCATTGGATTTCGCTTCCGAGAAATTAGTCACCATCCAGGATTCGTGTAGGCAATTGACAAATCAGATCTGAATATGCTTTATTGAATTTCATGGCTTTTTGAGTCGTTGCTTTACAACTGATATATAGTATTGTATTTTACAATGCAGAAAAAAATTGGAATCTTTCATGAAAATTATGAAATATAAAATAGTTATATTCTGGCAAAGTCTCAACAGCTATTATTAAGATATTGATCAGGATTTTTTACCCATTGTAGCATCACATACCAAGATCTACCACCAATTAATCTGTATCCATTTTGTTGCAATAAATTTACCACATAGCCATATAGTCTATAAGTTAAAAGACTCTTCTTGGATTTTGCCCACAATTTAGGACTTTTGAAATGCCAACATAATCGTTTTCCATTATAGCCAATGTAACCATAACCATCAGAACGATTTACTTTTTGAGGGGTTATACCTAAAAACTTCTTATCATTGGGATAATTATCTGTCTTTAGTAGAATTCCAAGCTTAGGTTGCTAATGATTCTTATAATTTCGATAACAGTTTGTATAATTCTCGCATATCCATCTCGAGTTTTAGGTTTATCACACTCGTGATCCCAGTGTTTCTGCATCAGGTCTTTAGGTTCAAGATAATCAATATACCTTTTTTTAGTGAAATGGAATGATTTCTTTGGTTGTACATCATCAATTTTTACGAGTTTCCAGCAACCAAAACAAATAGCCATATACATATGACTTTTATGAATCTGTGGTCTGTAATAATTGAAATTAACAAATTTACCTTTACCAAACGATGCAAATAAACACAGCCGGTGATATACACTAAATTTTCCTGAATTTAATAAATCTTGTAATGGAATTCTTATTCGTATTGCCCATTTCATTCTCATTATCGAAAATTTGATTGAGTTTATTAGCATAAGTTCCACCATAATGTGATATATACAATACAACATACTTCATATCAAAACCAGGACGATTAATATATGGTTTAGGAAGTGTTTTATCTTTTTTATCAATAATAGTAGCAATATCAAAATCAGACATATTTATCGATTAGTATTAGGATATTTGCTGAAAGCAGTCACTTCGTGGCTAGACCTATACTCTAAAATAAAGCGATTCAATTTTAGTGAGATTGGATTGTTAGTCCATCTTTCGAGAGTGTTATAGCGAAGCTAGCGTCAGAGACACATAATTGTCATATTTTGCGAGTGATGTATACGATGAGAATGGATAGTTGATTTAAAAAATTTATTTGTACACTCCCCTGCCAAATTTTTAGGGCCACCTGACGACCATCCAATTTTCTTGACACATGTTCAATTTCAAACCGTAATTATTCAGCCCATACTTGCTTAAATTCAAAACTTTTTTTTTTGAGAAAGAGAAAGCAACTTCTCCTCTAACTGACAATCATAAAATAATCCCAAACCGTTATTAATTTTGCTGAGAAACGATGCATCAAAGAGACCTATCCGATTTTGAGCGAGGAATGATAGTAGGACTTCACTTGGCAGGAAAAAGCGGAAGAGACATAGAAAAGATATTAAAGATAGGTAAAAGTACTGCAAATAGGGTTATATCAGCTTATCATGAAAGTGAAAAGACGACAACAGCGCCCAGGACTGGTAGACCACCCATTCTAGACGAGCGAAGTACTAGGCAATTAGTAAGGACGGTGAAGAAAAATCGAAAAGCAGCAGTTGAAGAGATAACGCATGAATTTGCCTCTGGACTAAATATTTCGGTAAGTAAACGTACAGTTCAACGTGTTCTTCATAAAGAGGGGTTTTATGCTAGGGTTGGTGTTCGTAAACCCTTTGTTTCTGAAACAAATCGTACGAGACGTCTGAAGAACGGAAATCTTGGACGGATGAATAGAATTCGGTGATTTGGAGCGATGAAAATCGTATTCTAATCTATCATATTATTAGAAACCAGCACGGCAAATGGTGCCTTCGTCCCTTCCACCAATTATACAAGAAAAATGCAATCAATTCGTAGAAAGCTTTATTGCGAGAGATACAGACAGTTTACCACGAAAACTTACGCATAATGGAGCGTGGAAGGAATCGAACGAGGAGCTTGCAGAGGTTGCGTCGAGAATTTTGGGCACTCTGAACGATGCATGGAATAATCCAGCATTTGATCCTGAGTTCGCAGAATTGCAAAGTGAAGGCACTTATGTAAATAATGTAATATTACCCGCTATACGAGCTACATTAAAATGTCTTCCTCTAGGAAAATCCACCTTTGTCAGCAGTTCCGAACGTCAAAGCAGTGCTAGTGCGGACAGAAAGGGTAGTGGGCGGTTGGGGAGACGGCCGGATATTATGTTCGTAATGAAACATGGTGAAAAAAATTACGAACTTTTATATACCGAATGTTCACGTTTGACTTGTACAGCACAAAAGGAAAAAAATGACGAGGTGAAGTTGTGGCGAGAGGCTAATGATGGTATGTATTGGACTCGTAAGAGTTGTAAGCCCGATAAGGATGAATTTGGTATTATTGGAGTACAAGTAGCGGGAAAGAAATTACGTCTAAGTGTTCTTATTAGGGATATGAGTGAGGTGCATCGTTATTATCACCTTCACGAATCCGAAATACCGAACTCCCTCTACCATTGCAAAATTTATAAAGACCTTACTAATATTACGAAACGTTCTTATCGTTAATATGACCTTACTCCATCATGCGTCCTTATCTAAATCAAGTAGACTTATAGAAGATAGTTCAACAGTGTCATCCCCTCCGCATGACAATTAGTTTTTATTATGTTTATTTTTATGTATTAACTAGAGTGAGAAGTAGTTAGGAGGCTTCGCCTCCCTTTATATTAATGTTAGTGATAAATTGAGAGATAATT